GGACAGGAGGCCCCTGGACTCTGTGGAGGAGGTGAGGGACAGGAGGCCCCTGGACTCTGTGGAGGAGGTGAGGGACAGGATGCCCCTGGACTCTGTGGAGGAGGTGAGGGACAGGAGGCCCCTGGACTCTGTGGAGGAGGTGAGGGACAGGAGGTGCTCGTCAAAGCCACCTCCATCATGAACAATACCTCCCACCCACTGCACAGGACTGTAGAGGAGCTGAGGAGCTCCTTCAGTGGAAGACTGAGACACCCTCAGTTAGGGGTGGGCGATATGGCCTAAAATTCATATTGCGGTATAATTTGGGACACAGACGGTAGACGGTATATATATTGCGGTATAATTTGGTGTGTGAATTTCAATATAGGTCTAGCAGGTTCTTGCATAAAATAGTCAAGATTGTTACTTATTTATATAGTAGAATCTAATATATATATTTTTTGAGTTAGAAAATCAGTTGTGAGACGAATAAAGAGACAAATGTTGTAACATACATTATTTATGTATGTTACAGTAAATACCATTCACTGTAAAAGCAATTTTTAAAAAGAAAAACATATGCATTCATTTAAAATATAAAAAACTCACAAATGTTGAAATCAAAGTCTGTAGGAGTTAGACATGGTCATTATTTATAGTGTCTGAGAGTTTTGTGCAGGTGCATGACTTCGGTAAAAGCTATTGTTCGTTTACAAAGCTGGTCTTGCCATTTGTTGACGCTCCCTAAGCGCTTTTCTCTGCGCTTGCAGTGAACTGGATGATTCAATGGATTTATCTGCATTAAAACAGCGCATTGGATTTGAACAATTCATGTAAATGATCATTTTGGCACAATACATTTAGTTTAACAAAGTAGCTTTCGTGAGATATTGACCGCGGAGGTCCGAATCTGACGCTAACTTTCCAAAACTTCTGCTGTGATGCTGCGGACACGGCACACGCATGGATCTATTTTGGCTCACGCTGGCGCTTCGAGCCTACGCCCCTTTGACACTGATTGGCCAAAAGGTAGACGCTTAAACTGTGATTACTGTGTGTGTATTTACCTCTGCTGGGGCCGCTGTGACAACAATACAGAGACAGAAACACGGTGTTAATTCCGTGCTGCTGTTCGCTGTTTCCAGTGGTGTCTGCTAGGCTAATAGTGCTAGGCTAATAGTGCTAGGCTAATGCTGCTGAATGCCGGTTTGTTTTGGTCCTTTCTGCTGGCATCAGAGCCTGCGCAATTTGATGACATAATGACCTATTGCAATATGCCGGTATAACAAAAATCTCTACCGTGGGCCAAATTTATATCGCATACCGCTTATACCGTTTATATCGCCCAGCCCTACCCTCAGTGTAGGAAGGAGCGCTACCGCAGGGCCTTTATCCCCACCGCTGTCAGACTGTACAATAAGTCACTTTAAATGATCACTGTGTGAAAACCTGCACTACTATTGACACTGTTTCCAATTGACACTTGTCACTTTTGTTGTACATAATTATTGTCACTTTTATTGTACATATATATCCTGTATGTAACATGTTTGCACATTTCCTCCTTTTGCACAATCTGAGTGTCCTATCCATGCCAAATGTGACATGTACATTTCTCCTCTGTGAGATAAATAAAGCACATCTTATCTTTAAGTCACTTGCACCAGGACTAAAAACCAGCACTACTACTGCCCCGGTTTGTTAAATTGCTACTTAATATATCCTGAAAAGACTATATTTTTTGCCTTTAGCATATCTGTCAGGTCTGTATTGGCTGAGCTGAAGTTGGATGGATGGCACAGTGAACTTGTTTATGATCTCAAAGACGACTTAGGGTCAGCGAGGCCACATACAATGACACTGAGGGCCACATTTGGTGTAGAGTTGTTGCTCATTTATGTGCTGTGGGACAGGACCCACTCACCACTCGCAGCTCCGGGTAGGTGGCGCTCACAGAGATGTACTCCATGAATTTAGCAAAGCCCTCGTTGAGCCACAGGTCGTTCCACCACTCCATCGTCACCAAGTTCCCGAACCACTGGACAAAGAACGTTCAGAGTGATCAAAGACACATGTGGCGAGAAGATAGAGGTTAGAAGGAGACGGACAGCGGTAATAACTGCTTCTTTTAGACATTAGAGCAGTTATTGTTCATATCCAACCTAAATGACAGAGAACCTCACATTTTCTAACAACAGACCGGGTTAGGGGGTGTGGCCTTGCCTAACACTGGGAGAAAGACAGGAGAGGACCAGCATGACACTAGGAGAAAGACAGGAGAGGACCAGCATGACACTAGGAGAAAGACAGGAGAGGACCAGTATAACACTAGGAGAAAGACAGAAGAGGACCAGCATAACACTAGGAGAAAGACAGGAGAGGACCAGCATAACACTAGGAGAAAGACAAAAGAGGACCAGCATAACACTAGGAGAAAGACTAGAGAGGACCAGCATAACACTAGGAGAAAGACTAGAGAGGACCAGCATGACACTAGGAGAAAGACTAGAGAGGACCAGCATGACACTAGGAGAAAGACAGGAGAGGACCAGCATAACACTAGGAGAAAGACTAGAGAGGACCAGCATGACACTAGGAGAAAGACAGAAGAGGACCAGCATAACACTAGGCGAAAGACTAGAGAGGACCAGCATGACACTAGGAGAAAGACAGGAGAGGACCAGCATAACACTAGGAGAAAGACTAGAGAGGACCGGCATGACACTAGGAGAAAGACAGAAGAGGACCAGCATAACACTAGGAGAAAGACTAGAGAGGACCAGCATGGCACTAGGAGAAAGACAGGAGAGAACCAGCATAACACTAGGAGAAAGACAGAAGAGGACCAGCATAACACTAGGAGAAAGACTAGAGAGGACCAGCATGACACTAGGAGAAAGACAGGTGAGGACCAGCATAACACTAGGAGAAAGACTAGAGAGGACCAGCATGACACTAGGAGAAAGACAGAAGAGGACCAGCATAACACTAGGAGAAAGACAGAAGAGGACCAGCATAACACTAGGAGAAAGACTAGAGAGGACCAGCATGACACTAGGAGAAAGACAGAAGAGGACCAGCATAACACTAGGAGAAAGACAGAAGAGGACCAGCATAACACTAGGAGAAAGACTAGAGAGGACCAGCATAACACTAGGAGAAAGACAGGAGAGGACCAGCATGACACTAGGAGAAAGACAGAAGAGGACCAGCATAACACTAGGAGAAAGACAGGAGAGGACCAGCATAACACTAGGAGAAAGACAGGAGAGGACCAGCATAACACTAGGAGAAAGACTAGAGAGGACCAGCATAACACTAGGAGAAAGACAGGAGAGGACCAGCATAACACTAGGAGAAAGACTAGAGAGGACCAGCATGGCACTAGGAGAAAGACAGGAGAGAACCAGCATAACACTAGGAGAAAGACAGAAGAGGACCAGCATGACACTAGGAGAAAGACAGGTGAGGACCAGCATAACACTAGGAGAAAGACAGAAGAGGACCAGCATAACACTAGGAGAAAGACAGAAGAGGACCAGCATAACACTAGGAGAAAGACTAGAGAGGACCAGCATGACACTAGGAGAAAGACAGGAGAGGACCAGCATGACACTAGGAGAAAGACAGAAGAGGACCAGCATAACACTAGGAGAAAGACTAGAGAGGACCAGCATAACACTAGGAGAAAGACAGGAGAGGACCAGCATGACACTAGGAGAAAGACAGAAGAGGACCAGCATAACACTAGGAGAAAGACAGGAGAGGACCAGCATAACACTAGGAGAAAGACTAGAGAGGACCAGCATAACACTAGGAGAAAGACAGGAGAGGACCAGCATGACACTAGGAGAAAGACAGGAGAGGACCAGCATAACACTAGGAGAAAGACAGGAGAGGACCAGCATAACACTAGGAGAAAGACAGGAGAGGACCAGCATGACACTAGGAGAAAGACAGAAGAGGACCAGCATAACACTAGGAGAAAGACTAGAGAGGACCAGCATAACACTAGGCGAAAGACAGGAGAGGACCAGCATAACACTAGGCGAAAGACAGGAGAGGACCAGCATAACACTAGGAGAAAGACAGGAGAGGACCAGCATAACACTAGGAGAGAGACAGGAGAGGACCAGCATAACACTAGGAGAAAGACAGGAGAGGACCAGCATGGCACTAGGAGAAAGACAGGAGAGGACCAGCATAACACTAGGAGAAAGACAGGAGAGGACCAGCATAACACTAGGAGAAAGACAGAAGAGGACCAGCATAACACTAGGAGAAAGACAGGAGAGGACCAGCATGACACTAGGAGAAAGACAGAAGAGGACCAGCATAACACTAGGAGAGAGACAGAAGAGGACCAGCATAACACTAGGAGAGAGAGACAGGAGAGGACCAGCATAACACTAGGAGAGAGAGACAGGAGAGGACCAGCATAACACTAGGAGAGGGACAGGAGAGGACCAGCATAACACTAGGAGAGAGACAGGAGAGAACCAGCATAACACTAGGAGAAAGACAGAAGAGGACCAGCATAACACTAGGAGAGAGAGAGACAGGAGAGGACCAGCATAACACTAGGAGAGAGAGAGACAGGAGAGGACCAGCATAACACTAGGAGAGAGAGAGACAGGAGAGAACCAGCATAACACTAGGAGAGAGACAGGAGAGGACCAGCATAACACTAGGAGAGAGAGAGACAGAAGAGGACCAGCATAACACTAGGAGAAAGACAGGAGAGGACCAGCATGACACTAGGAGAGAGACAGGAGAGGACCAGCATAACACTAGGAGAGAGAGAGACAGAAGAGGACCAGCATAACACTAGGAGAAAGACAGGAGAGGACCAGCATGACACTAGGAGAGAGAGGAGAGGACCGGTGTTCTGTCGAGATGATCTGCCTCAACTGTTAATGATGTAATGCAAACCAGCGCTGCGCGTCTCACGGCAGCCGAAGCAAACCAAGATGGCGGACATGTAGTCCGCGAATTGCTTTAAAAGTTAAATACAAACGAATTAAGACACAAATGTCACTTTTAATGCAATTTGAGGCGAGATGTTGATGATTCCGCGTTGTGATATGTGGGTTTCAAGAGGAAGAGTTTAGTGTAAAGTTTGTTTTAAACAGTCCACTGCTCCTGTGAAACTACACTGCTGCTGTACCCAAAAAAAGCAGAAACCCACCAGAATGGGGAAAAAACTCGATCTCGATATTAAGTATTTCGTTTGAACACACTGTTGTTAATCATATTGAATACAGTATGATACATGCATTAAATTAAATTTATCATTTCCATTATCAACCCGACAAGACCAGTCACAGGACGCGTCATGGGCATTGCTTCGGCTGCCGTGAGACACGCAGCGCAGGTTTGCATTATATCATGCAAAAGCTGAGGCAGATCATCTCGACAGAACACCGGCATGACACTAGGAGAGAGACAGGAGAGGACCAGCATGACACTAGGAGAAAGACAGGAGAGGACCAGCATGACACTAGGAGAAAGACAGGAGAGGACCAGCATGACACTAGGAGAGAGACAGGAGAGGACCAGCATAACACTAGGAGAGAGACAGGAGAGGACCGGCATGACACTAGGAGAAAGACAGGAGAGGACCGGCATGACACTAGGAGAAAGACAGGAGAGGACCGGCATGACACTAGGAGAGAGACAGGAGAGGACCAGGATAACACTAGGAGAGAGACAGGAGAGGACCGGCATGACACTAGGAGAGAGACAGGAGAGGACCAGCATGACACTAGGAGAGAGACAGGAGAGGACCAGCATGACACTAGGAGAGAGACAGGAGAGAACCAGCATGACACTAGGAGAAAGACAGGAGAGGACCAGCATGACACTAGGAGAAAGACAGGAGAGGACCAGCATGACACTAGGAGAAAGACAGGAGAGGACCAGCATGACACTAGGAGAAAGACAGGAGAGGACCAGCATGACACTAGGAGAAAGACAGAAGAGGACCAGCATGACACTAGGAGAGACACAGAAGAGGACCAGCATAACACTAGGAGAGAGACAGAAGAGGACCAGCATAACACTAGGAGAGACACAGAAGAGGACCAGCATAACACTAGGAGAGAGACAGAAGAGGACCAGCATAACACTAGGAGAAAGACAGGAGAGGACCAGCATGACACCAGGAGAAAGACAGAAGAGGACCAGCATAACACTAGGAGAGAGACAGAAGAGGACCAGCATAACACTAGGAGAAAGACAGGAGAGGACCAGCATGACACTTGGAGAAAGACACGAGAGGACCAGCATGACACTAGGAGAAAGACAGGAGAGGACCAGCATGACACTAGGAGAAAGACAGGAGAGGACCAGCATGACACTTGGAGAAAGACAGGAGAGGACCGGCACTAGGAGAAAGACAGGAGAGGACCAGCATAACACTATGAGAAAGACAGGAGAGGACCAGCATGACACTAGGAGAAAGACAGGAGAGGACCAGCATAACACTAGGAGAAAGACAGGAGAGGACCAGCATGACACTAGGAGAAAGACAGGAGAGGACCAGCATGACACTAGGAGAAAGACAGGAGAGGACCAGCATGACACTAGGAGAAAGACAGGAGAGGACCAGCATGACACTAGGAGAAAGACAGGAGAGGACCAGCATGACACTAGGAGAAAGACAGGAGAGGACCAGCATAACACTAGGAGAAAGACAGGAGAGGACCAGCATGACACTAGGAGAAAGACAGGTGAGGACCAGCATGACACTAGGAGAAAGACAGGAGAGGACCAGCATGACACTAGGAGAAAGACAGGGGAGGACCAGCATAACACTAGGAGAAAGACAGGAGAGGACCAGCATAACACTAGGAGAAAGACAGGAGAGGACCAGCATGACACTAGGAGAAAGACAGGAGAGGACCAGCATAACACTAGGAGAAAGACAGGAGAGGACCAGCAGGACACCATCTGTATCTCACTTGGTGGGCGAGCTCGTGGGCGATGACTTTGGTGATTCCCAGTTTGTCTGAAGCTGAAGACTTCTGAGGGTCGAACAACAGGGCGGTCTCTCTGTAGGTGGTCAGACCCCAGTTCTCCATCGCTCCGGACTGGAAATCTGGGATAGCAGCCAAGTCTGGGGAATGTCATAGGATAGTTTAGCTCATATACAGTGTATATACAGTATATATCAGAGAGAATTATGTATAGAAATGTTATTAATGTATCAATATAGGTATGCATCTTTATAATAAGCTAGCTATCATAAGTGCTGTTAGCGTCAGTAACTATCTAAACTCTATGGTCACCTTTTTTTACTTGATTAGTGGAAATTTGGCTTGAACAAGACGAGAGAGACCAAAGAAGGAGAGACACCTGAGAGAGAGCAAAGAGAGCAACTTGAGCGACCAAAGAGAGACACAAGGGAGAGAGAGACCAAAGGGAAGGGGAGAGATCAGAGAGAGAGAGACCAGAGGGAGTAACCATAGGACTGGAGCCGCAGGAGAGAGACCAAAGAGATTCCACAGAGAGAGAGAGAGAGAGAGAGACCAAAGGGAAGGGGAGAGATCAGAGAGAGAGAGACCAGAGGGAGTAACCATAGGACTGGAGCCGCAGGAGAGAGACCAAAGAGATTCCACAGAGAGAGAGAGAGAGACCAAAGGGAAGGGGAGAGATCAGAGAGAGAGAGACCAGAGGGAGTAACCATAGGACTGGAGCCGCAGGAGAGAGACCAAAGAGATTCCAGAGAGAGAGAGAGAGACCAAAGAGATTCCAGAGATTCCAGAGAGAGAGAGAGACCAAAGAGATTCCAGAGAGAGAGAGAGAGAGAGAGACCAGAGGGAGAGACCGAGAGAGAGAGAGACCAAAGAGATTCCAGAGGGAGAGAGAGAGAGAGAGAGAGAGAGACCAGAGGGAGAGAGAGAGAGAGAGAGAGAGAGAGACCAGAGGGAGAGAGAGAGAGAGACCAAAGAGATTCCAGAGGGAGGGAGAGAGAGAGAGAGAGAGAGAGACCAGAGGGAGAGAGAGAGAGAGACCAGAGGGAGGGACATTAAGGAGAGACAGGACTAAATAGAGAGATTCCAAAGAGGAAGAGAGAGAGATAGAGACCAGAGAGAAAGAGAGATCAGAGAGAGAGAGAGAAACCAGAGGAAGGGACCAGAGAGAGAGACCAGAGAGAGTGAGACCATTGTATTGAGTTTGGTGTCTGTGCTCCTGAGCTTTTTGCTTCAGCCCACTCCTTCTGAGCGGAATGTAATAAGATTAAAATAAACAAATAATAAATAAGAAGCCAGCTCTGACCCTGCTTTGGCAGCGGGTAGGGGATGTCAAAGTAGTCGTCATAAAAATCCAGGAGTTTCACAGCAGCGTTCAGAGCAAAGGTCGTCTGGTCGATCTTCTCAGGGACAGAGTAGACCGAGATCTGCGAGATTTAAACAGAGTTAGAAGAAGTAAAACACAACATGTATCTTTACTATCAGTGTTCCCGCCAGGAATTTGTTTGAGGGGGGGGACTGTGGGGGGGGGGAGGCGTGGGGGGAGGTTGGGGGTTCGAGGTCCAATGCCCCAGAAAAAAATTAAAAAATCACACACGTTTATTGCTGTAATTTTTGTTAATACTTTTCACGAGGAGTAAGTGGATATGTGTGCCTTTAATATGAGCGGCCTTTGTGGGAATGGTTATATTCAAAGTATTAGGGTAAAATGAGTTTGTAAAACACCTGCGGCGCAGCGACGCGAAGCAGGAGCCGTAGTTCTGAGCGGAGCCAGAGCAGAGCCAGAGGTCTCCAGAGATCAGAGAAGTATTTGGGACTGGCTCACTCAGATTCAGAGGAGGAACACACGCAGGTGTCCAGTGAAGCAGACACAGACATTATTAGTGACAGGAGTCTGCGCCACAATAGTCCACAGTCACCCACAGTTTACGTCCTCCGTGTGGCCCCGAGGTAAAGAGGTCCGGCTTTTTGGAGTCAGCGGTAAAGAGGTCCGCACATTAAAAGCGGATAGCCGCTTTATGCTGTTAATTACAGCAACATTGGAAAGAGAAGACGTGGGGATGAGACGCCACAATGCACTTTTTAACATAAAGCGGCCACCCGCTTTTAATGTGCGGACCTCTCTACCGCTGACTCCGAAAACCCGGACCTCTTTACCGCCGACTCCTAAAAGCCGGACCTCTTTACCGCGGTGTGCGGCCGCAGTGGAAACATTCTCCGAACACCAGACTAGGGACGTGGTGAAGGGGACAGGGGGATCTTAACACCGGGCATATGGGTGAATGCAGCGGGGATAAACAACCGCGGGGAACGCGGGAGACGTGGCAGAAGCCACGGAAGAAAACCAGTGGGGGCGGGTCCCAGCTCAAAAGTGGCCAAAATGACGTGCGCTGACATGCTGCAATACCACCCCGGGCCGATGGGGGTGGACCCAGAAGAAGAATTAGCCAATGCTAACATATAGCATTAGCAGACCTCTCAAAAACGTCTTTACAGGATGGTCCAAAAGTCGCTCTTGGCCCAAAGCTCCGTTCCACATGTGTGTCAATGCTGAGGGGGGTGATTTTTTTTGGACCACTCTAGTTTACTTGCTGTGAATTTTTGAAGTCTCTCGTTCAAATGAATGGAGCTGCGCCGGCTGACGCATGCGCAGATGCGTTTTTTCACAATTTTCTTGTGGGCGGGACCACTCGCGGCCATCTTGGATTGCTCTATGAAAGCACTTTTGAAAGTGCAGATTTCATGACTGGTAAACTATAAGCAGTGCCATCTTGATCATTGAAGGCCTAATACATAATACCATTTCATATGGCTGCTGACCAGTGCTAAAATATTCTATATAAATTTGATCAGTGAATTTATTCCTATCCCACATTGTGTTTTCATACTAAAGATATTTCACGTAGACTGTTGATGGTATTCCCTGATCTCAAAATACACTCTCAAACTACAGCTTTTTGAAATCTTTATACAATAATTAACATTTTCCAAAATGGCCACCACCTTGATGATGTCACAATATGCAAATTAGATGACGAATCAACTTCCATCCCAAAGTTTGGTTCATACTGAAGATAGTTCTCATTTACAAAATGCCTTTATCTCAAACTTTAAAGTAATAGCCTTTTGAAATCTTGAAATCCAAATTGTAAAATTTTTTGAAAGAAATGGGCTTAGTGCTGTGTGAAAATCCCTCGTCAAAGGCCTGGGCTCCGCACCGTGCTCCTCTTTGCTGTCATCGTTGCAACATGTCCAGAAGTTCAACTTTTTAGCACTAACCATGTTGTGGGTTTAGTCCATGGTTTTGTCAAGGAGAAAATTAGCATACAACACTTACAGTCATACTGCAATCAGACATGGATTTACATTTGTCAGTCTGAATGCTGTGATGTACAGGAAACACGGCACAGAGATTACCCCTTAGCCAATCAGGACGCAGAACACAATACACTGGTTTTTCCTTAGCCAATCAGGACGCAGAACACATTACACTGGTTATTCCTTAGCCAATCAGGATGAACACACCAAGTTCATATACAGTGAAAATCACGATAACAATACATCTGCAAGACCGCGAAAAGAGAACCGCTATTCATCTGAGGAGACTCCTATTCAGAACACATTATTCCTGTACGGAAGTATCTGATTTGGTGTTTTTATGTAATTATTTTACTATCATCATGTTTTAGATTATAGATTAGACAGTGAGCCAGATCAGATGTATCCCAATGAAAATAATGTTTTTGCACTTTTTGATGTGAGAATTGTATACATGCATGTCTAAGAAAATTGAGGGGGGGATATCCCCCCCTAGGGCCATGGCTAGGGGGGGACTGATCCTCCCCATCCCCCCCTCTGGAGGAAACCCTGACTATGGTAGCTGTAAATGTCTCTCTCTGGTCTCCCTCTCTGGTCTCCCTCTCTGGTCTCCCTCTCTGGTCTCCCTCTCTGGTCTCCCTCTCTGGTCTCCCTCTCTGGTCTCCCTCTCTGGTCTCCCTCTCTGGTCTCCCTCTCTGGTCTCCCTCTCTGGTCTCCCTCTCTGGTCTCCCTCTCTGGTCTCCCTAACCATGCCGTGTGTAGCTAACCTTGACGCCGTGCCGAGTGGTGGCGCTCACGGACAGGAAGTCGCAGACGATGTAAGCCAGGAGGTACGTGCTCATCTTCACCGTGGTCTCAAAGTGGTCCTCCAGGAGACCCCCCGGCAGCTCCACGCTCTTCACCTGCAGGTTATTGTAAAGCACAGTTCATAGAGACTTTAAATGATTAATAAACACAGTGCATTAAAAAGAGTGGAGATAAAATCCTTCAGTTGTTGCAGCGAAACTGAACTGTTTTTAACCTGGATTTGAACATTGTCAGAGAAGAAGCCTGTCTCACATTTTCAGGAAGACTGTTCCAGGTTTTAGTGGCATAAATCTGAAACTCTCCTCGTGTTTAGTCCTGACTCTGGGACCAGCAGGAGGCCAGTCCCTGTGCTCCTCAGAGTGTCTCTTAATGGTTTCTCTCCCTGGACTCTCTCTTTGGACTCTCTCCTTTTGGTCTCTCTCTTTGGTCTCTGAGCTCTCTCTCTGGACTCTCTCTCTGGACTCTCTCTCTGGACTCTCTCTCTGGACTCTCTCTCTGGACTCTCTCTCTGGACTCTCTCTCTGGTCTCTCTCTCTGGTCTCTCTCTTATAGCCTTACCCTTACAGCTTCATCAAGGAGAAAAATCTTGACGCAGAGAGTCAGTACTGCTCTAGAGAGAGACCATCCACCTTTTCTCATTCCTATCTCGGCTTTGTTGTCAATGTGCTATACAAATAAAGATGATCTCTCTCTGGTCTCTCTCTCTCTCTCTCTGGTCTCTCTCTCTGTGGTCCTAATATAATAATTTGTATTATTCTGTTGTTAAATTATGTTAATGCCGGTTTTTGGAATAAACATTTAAATGAAATAAATGAAATGACAGATCCGTGCTGGTGGACCTTGGGCATGTTGGAGATGGCGATGTGCCGCGGCTCTCGGACGATCTGGAGCGTAAAATTGGCTTTGAACGCCGGCTCGTCGAAACACGGGAACGCTCCTCTGGCAAAAGTGGCTTCAAACTGCGTCGATGCCAAGACTCTGGAAACACAAAGTTCAATATTATTCAATTCCATCTCTGGTCTGTGTCTCTCTCTCCCTCTCTGGTCGGTCTACCTCCCTCTGTCTCCCTGGTATCTCTCTCTGGTCTCCCTCTCTCTCCCTCTCTGGTCGGTCTCCCTCCCTCTGTCTCCCTGGTATCTCTCTCTCTGGTCTCCCTCTCTCTGGTCTCTCTGGTCTCTCTGGTCTCTCTGGTCTCTCTGGTCTCTCTGGTCTCTCTGGTCTCTCTGGTCTCTCTGGTCTCTCTGGTCTCTCTGGTCTCTCTGGTCTCTCTGGTCTCTCTGGTCTCTCTGGTCTCTCTGGTCTCCCTCTCTCTGGTCTCCCTCTCTTCCTCTCTCTGGTCTCTCTGGTCTCTCTGGTCTCCCTCTCTCTGGTCTCCCTCTCTCTCCCTCTCTGGTCGGTCTCCCTCCCTCTGTCTCCCTGGTATCTCTCTCTCTGGTCTCCCTCTCTCCGGTCTCTCTCTCTCTCTCTCTCTCTCATTGCCGTAGCTCACCTGACCTCCCCGCTGCCGCTCACGTAGCTGCTCTTGTAGAAGCCGTGAAAACTGTCCGAAAGATTCGCTGCAAACTCCAAATGAACCTCGTAGTTTCTCCCCTTGATCAAAACGTCCTCAGAGACCAGAGCAAGCTGATGGAAGCGAGGGAACTCCAGCACGCGAAGAGGCCGCACACCCTCCGGACCCAACAGGTAAACATTGGACACCTCCAGCCTCTTGGAGTGGAGCACTATGGTTTCCGTGTCTTCCCTCACGTCCAGCCGGATGCGGACCACGCCGGAGAAGTCCAGAGTGGTGAGGTTGGGATGGATGCTCAGGTCGTAGTGAGTGGGGAATACGGACTTGGGAAGTCTCATGCTGGTCCAGGGGAAAGGCTGACCGTTGGTGGCGATGGGAGCTTCTTTGGAGGTTTGGTTTGGGAGAAGAGCCCCGGACGCAAGGGAAAAGTAAGAAATAAGACAGAGGAATGTAGAGGACGACATGGTCTGAAGAGGCAGCATCTCCACCTGCTGACAGAGGATATAGATACACTGGAGATTAGTACACTAGAGAGAGACCAGAGAGAGAGACCAGAGAGAGAGACCAAACAGAGAGAGAGAAAGACCAGAGAGAGAGAGTTCAGAGAAAGGGACCATAGAGAGAAAGAGAGAGATCAGATAGACAAGAACAGAGGGAGAGACCAGAGAGAGAGAAAGACCAAAGAAAGACTAGAGATAGACTAGAGAAAGATAAGAGAGAAAGAGAGGGACCAGAGAGACCAAAGAGAGAGATACACCAGAGAGAAAGACTAGAAAGAAAGAGACAGGAGAGAAACCAGCGAGAGAGAGAGAGAGACCACAGAGAAAGACCAGAGAGAGAGAGAGACCAGAGAGAGAGACCAGAGAGAGAGAGAAAGACCAGAGAGCGATCAGAGAGAGAGAGAGAGGGACCAGAGTGAGAGACCAAACAGAGAGAGAGAAAGACCAGAGAGAGAGAGACCAGAGAAAGGGACCATAGAGAGAAAGAGAGAGATTAGATAGACAAGAACAGAGGGAGAGACCAGAGAGAGAGAGAAAGAGAGAGAGATCAGATAGGCAAGAACAGAGGGAGAGACCAGAGAGAGAACGACCAAAGAAAGACTAGAGATAGACTAGAGAAAGATAAGAGAGAAAGAGAGGGACCAGAGAGAGACCAAAGAGAGAGATACACCAGAGAGAAAGACTAGAAAGAAAGAGACAAGAGAGAGACCAGCGAGAGAGAGAGAGACCACAGAGAAAGACCAGAGAGAGAGAGACCAGAGAGACCCACACAAGATAGCAATAATCATACAAGCCATTCAAATCATAAATAATCATTAAAAAGAGTGAAGATAAAATCCTTCACTTGTATAAACAACTAAACAGAACTGTTTTGAATCTGGCTAGGATTAGGGTTTGTCCTGTCTCACATTTTCAGGAAGACTGTTCCAGATTTTAGCCGCATACATTTGAAACTCTGCCTTCTCATGTTTAGCCCTGACTCTGGCACCAGCAGGAGGCCAGTCCCTGTGCTCCCAGAGTCATGCCTCAGTCTGATACTTCCTGGTTCTAGTCAAGTCTTATAATGCAGCTGTTTTATGGCTCGTTCGGAAAGCCCAGTGGTTAATCGCAGTCAAATCCCTCAAATGAAAATGATATGCTATTTCTAAATGATTTTATAAAACTCTTTGTCTGTCTTAGTGGTCACAATCTCAAATAGCTGCAATTATTTAAAGCTGGGGTACTGAAGTTCTGTTCTGCTTCCAACAGGGACTCATGCATATCTCTCTTGCGTTATGGGCCAAAGATGAATTTATACCTAGACAATAATTAAATTCCATTCTGTTCTTATCTATTAGCATGTGTCCTGCACCTATTCTTACATTGCAAACAAATCCACACGTACATGTTTAATGATTTATTATACAATATGTTTTCAGCAGTACATTAACTCAATGGAATCAGAGAAATGTGTTTAAACTAAAGTAAAAACAGCTGACGTGACCTTAAACACGATATTCTAGTTTTAGATTCGACGCAGCCATTACAATTATACGATGTAAAATAAGATACACTACTGGCATTGCTTAAAAAAGGCCTGGGACAATATGAATACGAGCAAAACAGACTTTATCAACACATAATAAGCCAGAAGTCTTCCCTATTCCTAAAAAGCAAGGACTTACCAATAAAGCAGGGTTTCACTGGAACACGCCGCGAAAGTGAAAGTAACTGGGTATTAGCATTTGTGGGAGGTCTCAACTGTCTCTGTCTCTGTCTCACGTCATTCTGGCTTCACTAAAGATGAGATGAATTAAAATAAGCCTAACCTGACTTTGATCAAAGGCTCACGGACCATAACAGCAGCACGTGCGCGCTCCATGCTCACATTAGATCCACAAGCTTTAGCTGAGTTTCCGTGTGCTTAAAGATCCATGGATAAAACAGCTAAATGTAAGTGTTGTTTAAGGTTTGTGCTAAATCTGATGGATCTGCAGCAGACGCGGTGAAAATGCACCGAGGAGAAATCAGCAGTGACATCAGGAAGTGTGTGTGTGTAGCCTGCAGTTCAGTCAACGACCGCTGGGTGGTGCTGTTTCTTTCAGAGTACGCCCTCTTCACTCCAATGCGTTTGGAGTGAATGTCAAGAAAAATCAAGTAAAATGTGAATAAAACACAGGGGCAACTATATTCAATGTAATAAACTAATTCAGTGTAATTACATTGGATGAGGCAAGACAAGTTTATTTGTATTGCACATTTCATACACAAGGCTGAACAAAACAAGATGGAAACAGTCACACAGGGCAATAAAATCATAAATAAGCACAGCACATTAAAACGAGTAAAGATACAATCCTTCAGTTGTATGCACAGCTAAACAGAACTGTTTTTAACATGGATTTGAACATTGCTGAGAGCAGATTGGCTGAGAGAGATGGTCCTCTCCTTTGATAATAATATTAAAAATACATTGGTTTTTATAGCTCTTTTTTTGACATTCAAAGACGCTTTACATCATCTCTCCTTCACTCCATACACAGTGGTGATAAACTACCACAGTAGCCACAGCTGCCCTTGGACACACTGACAGAAGCGAGGCAACCGGTCTGTTTCATCGACCCCTCCCACCACCACCAACTATTCACACACACACCAGACTCATTCTAATGTGGGTGAAGTGTCTTGCCTAAGGACACAGCCACAGGTTGGCAATTTACACTCGCAGCCTCCCATCACAGTACTAACCAGGCCCTGCCCTGCTTAGCCTCAGAGTTCAGGCAGAAAACAGCTTGGATTGTATCTCTGCAATAAAACTAGGTCGTGAAGCGGGTTGAATGCCAAATCGTTCTGACACACCAGCCCGTGTCGCCCGGTAAGGAAAGGCCGTCCTGTGTTTTTGCGCAGTGTGACAGTAGCTTGTGAAATACCATAATAAATACAATTGTCTCTGTCAGATCCTCTGAGGTAAAAGTCCACCTCAACAGCAAACATTAATGAGTAAACTTTACAACGATGCCTCAGAGTGGATCCCGCTGTCAACATGAACAAGTGGACTCTGATAGGATTTGCATGTTCTGCCTGTCTTTTAACCTTAGGCATTCTCATCGGTCACTTTGGGATCTCGAAGCCTGGACCGTCCTGGACTCGTGATGTGGTCTCCGATGTGGACCAGGACTTCATCTCCGCCTTCCTGTCCGAGGTCGACAACAAGGAGATTGAGGAGAATCTACGGTAAAGTAAATACACACCCTCAAAACAACAGCCTCAGTCCTGGGTCTACAGCCTCAGTCCTGGGTCTACAGCCTCAATCCTGGATCTACAGCCTCAGTCCTGGATCTACAGCCTCAGTCCTGGATCTACAGCCTCAGTCCTGGGTCTACAGCCTCAGTCCTGGATCTACAGCCTCAGTCCTGGATCTACAGCCTCAGTCCTGGGTCTACAGCCTCAATCCTGGATTTACAGCCTCAGTCCTGGGTCTACAGCCTCAGTCCTGGATCTACAGCCTCAGTCCTGGATCTACCACTTCAGTCCTGGATCTACAGCCTGAATTCTGGGTCCCCAGCCCCAGTGGTTAAACAGTTTTCTTCTCTTGTTCTTGTCTGTATTTTATACTTTCAGACCATAAAATCCAGAAGTTGTTTTGTTTTGTTTTTTAGGGAGTTGACCAGAGTTCCGCACATGGCGACCACAGCTGGAGACGAGCAAACCGTGGAGTTGATGCTGAAGCGATGGAAGGATCCTGACTCGGGTCTGGACTCCGCCTGGAGAGAGGACTACAGCGTCTACCTGTCCTTCCCAGACCCAGAACACCCCAACTCCGTCACCGTGGGTCAGTGCACCTCCACAGAAATCACATACAAACATTTTCCCTGGTCTTTCTGGTCTTTCTGGTCTCTCTGGTCTCTCTCTGGTCTATCTCTGTTCTCTCTGATTCCTCTCTCTGGTCTCTCTCTCCAGTCACTATCTGGTCCCTCGCTCTTTGGTCTCTGTCTCTCTTCTCTGTATGCTCTCTCTAGTCTTTCTCTCTCTCTGGTCTCTCTGGTGTCCCTCTGGTCTCTCTCTATCTGATCTCTCTTTCTCTCTCTAGTCTCTTTCTGGTCTCTCTGGTCTCCCTCTGGGTCTCTCTCTTGTCTCTCTCTAGTCCCTCTCTCTTTGGTCTCTCTCTGGTCTGTCACTAGTCTTTCTCTGGTCCCTCTCTCTCTGGTCTCTCTCTCTGGTCCCTCTCTCTGATCCCTCTCTCTGGTCCCTTTCTCTGGTCTCTCTGGTCCCTCTCTCTGGTCTCTCTCGCTCTGGTCCCTTTCTCTGGTCTCTCTCTCTGGTCCCTCTGTCTTTGGTCTCTCTTTCTCTCTCTGACAAGCAGGAGCACACCAGACTCCACCCCCCATTTTTACTCACATGAGGAAATGGGCGGAGCCTGGTCTGCTCTTGCTTGGTTGGAATGAAAACCTGCAGCCAGACGACTCGTGGGTCTGACCCGGGATGTTGTTTTTCAGTGAACTCCTCGAACTCAGTGCTGCTTACTCTCAGAGACAAAGAGAAACCCTACACTCCCGACCAAGAAGACCCCGCCGTGGTCCCGTCCTACGCTGCCTACTCTCCCCCCGGCCAGGCCAAGGTCACCATAAAAACACTTTTGATTCATCTGCTGCTTGTGCTACAGTGTCCTGCTTCATACATCTCTAAGACTATAGTATTCTGAAAATATTAAATGATTATAACCTTTACTCACTGTTAATAAGAGCGAAAACAGGAGAATATATGACTAATAATACAGGAAAAAACATGTATTTATCGTTTATGTTTATTGCTTTTAGAATAGATGTGTTTCTACCTGTAGTAGGAATCTATAAAGTCTCTCTCTCTCTGGTCTCTGTCTCTCTCTCTCTGGTCTCTGTCTCTCTCTCTCTTTCTCTGGTCTCTGTCTCTCTCTCTGGTCTCTGTCTCTCTCTCTCTCTTTCTTTTTGGTCTATGTGTCTGTCTCTGTCTCTGTCTCTCTCTCTTTCTCTGGTCTCTGTCTCTCTCTCTCTGGTCTCTCTCTCTTGTTTGCCAAGTGACCAACAATAAAAATATGATAATAATTTCATAAAAACAATCATATTTGTAAACAACAAATGGAAGAAATAGAAAAAATCGCAGAGTCATGAAGACCCTGAATGTAAGTACACTTCCAAAACTAAAAGTCGTCAAAATGACTGCTCTGGGACTCGGAGTGTGTTAAAGGAGACTCTGGTCACTCTCTTAAGTTCCTTTTTCTCTGGTTCTTCTCTCTCCGTTCCCTCTCTCTGGTCTCCCTCTAGTCTCCATGTTGTTCCGTCTCTCTGCTTCCTCTCTCTCCGGTCTCTCTCTGACAAGCAGGAGACAACTAGACTATCCATTTCTTTGTGCTCCTGCTTGGTTGGAATGAAAACCTGCTGCCAGTTAGAGAGACTGGATCCAAGCCTTGTGTGTTCTTTGTGCTCTCAGGGAAAACTAGTTTATGCGAACTACGGAAGACCCAGTGACTACCTGGACCTGAGCCAGAAGCTGAACCTGACGGGGACCATAGCCATCACCAGATATGGAGGCGCTGGGAGAGCGGCAAAGGTACTCCCTCTCACAGACTGAACACAGAGGGACAACACCATGAAGTCTAAGAGAGAAGTGCTCATGGGGAAGTTTTGCTTTGTTCACATTGGCTAACATTGAAAAGTAAACTCCTCTGGCTCTTCGAAGTCGTCGCTCATTCTTTTTTTTTTGCCGAGGAAAGATATCAAATTTGATACACGCTGCGGACCAATTGTCATGGTAACGGTCCAAGATGGGAAAATATCAGACCGCGTGTATGATCCAAGTCATATAATAAAAATGCCAACTGAGACTCTGAGGAGCACAGGGACTGGTCTCCTGCTGGGACTCAGAGGAGCACAGGGACTGGTCTCCTGCTGCAACTCAGAGGAGCACAGGGACTGGTCTCCTGCTGGGACTCTGAGGAGCACAGGGACTGGTCTCCTGCTGGGACTCAGAGGAGCACATGGACTGGTCTCCTGCTGGGACTCTGAGGAGCACAGGGACTGGTCTCCTGCTGGGACTCTGAGGAGCACAGGGACTGGTCTCCTGCTGGGACTCTGAGGAGCACAGGGACTGGTCTCCTGCTGGGACTCTGAGGAGCACAGGGACTGGTCTCCTGCAAATCCAGGTTAAAAAGGATTGTATCTTGTTTAACGTACTGTGATTATTTATGATTTGTCTGATTGTTTTCGTCTTGTTAGTTCAGCCCTTGGAGTTTCCTTCTGTATGAACGGTGCTATACATATAACCTTGCCTTGTGTCTAACAGGCCATCAACGCCGCTCCGTACGGTGTGGTGGGGGTCCTGGTTTACACTGACCCTCGCGACATCAACGACGGCTTCATGTCGGACCAGAACGAGACCTACCCTCACTCCTGGTACCTGCCCCCTACTGGCATGGAGAGGGGCGGCTTCAGCACCCTGTACGGAGACCTGCTCACGCCGTACTTAGCTGCTAAAGGTAAAACCGAGCAGTTTTTCCTCAGAGTTTGACACGATAATCTAGATTTTGCGTTTACTTCCCAGAGGACACATACAGAATCCCTGTTGGGGAGATTCCAGGCCTTCCTCCCATCCCCATACAGCCCATTGGATTCGAGGACGCCTCCTTTCTCATCTGGTCTGTATTACCCCCGTCCTGACAGTGTTGGGGACTTGAATATGAATATTAATAGTAATAATACTAGACCAGAGAGAGACCAGAGAGAGACCAGAGAGAGACAAGAAACAGAGACTAGAGACCAGAGAGAGACCAGAGAGAGACCACAGAGAGACCAGAGAGAGACCAGAGAGACCAGAGAGAGACAAGAAACAGAGACTAGAGACCAGAGAGAGACCAGAGAGAGACCAGAGAGACCAGAGAGAGACAAGAAACAGAGACTAGAGACCAGAGAGAGACCAGAGAGAGACCACAGAGAGACCAGAGAGAGACCAGAGAGAGACCAGAGAGACCAGAGAGAGACAAGAAACAGAGACTAGAGACCAGAGAGAGACCAGAGAGACCACAGAGAGACCAGAGAGAGACAAGAAACAGAGACTAGAGACCAGAGAGAGACCAGAGAGAGACCAGAGAAAGACCGGAGAGAGACCAGAGGGAGAGAGACCAGAGAGAGAGACAGGAGAGAAAGACAAGAGGGAGACCAGAGAGAGAGACCAGTAATTATTATTATTATCATTAGTAATAATAATAATTATACATCGGTTTTACATAGCGCTTTTCAAAAACCTGACGCTTCACAATTCAGGACACACACACACATACACATTCAGACAGACACACAAAACTAAAAAACTAAAAGCAGGAAAGAAGAGTACAAAGCTGAAACTAAGAGTCGTATGTTAGGAAAAAGAGGTGAGTGTTTAGCTGTTTTTTGAAGGATGAGTTTCTGAGGTGAGGGGGGAGAGAGTTCCAGAGAGTGGGAGCAGAGATGGTATTCCCAGAGGTCTCCCATCACAGTACTAACCAGGCCGTAACCTGCTTAGCCTCAGTGGTCTGGCTGGATCTGCCTTTCACATGTCAGTATGGATTAGCAAATGGGACAGTCTTATTTCAAAACTTTTGCTTGGTTTTCTCCTTCAAAGAGAGACATTTTTTGTATCTTTTTAAAACAAGAAAATGTTGCTCTTCTGCCAAATTTAAGGAAGTTTTGAATTTTTTTCCTCACTTTTTGCAGTGCCCTGGACGGGGAGAAGGCTCCGGACGACTGGCAAGGATCATTTAAGTGTGGCTACAACTTTGGTCCTGGGTTCAAACCTACCTCTGCGTATAAAGACAGGTACAGATACAGTGGCTGAGTGGTTATCGTAGACCCAGGACTGAGGCTGTAGATCCAGGACTGAGGCTGTAGATCCAGGACTGAGGCTGTAGACCCAGGACTGAGGCTGTAGACCCAGGACTGAGGCTGTAGATCCAGGACTGAGGCTGTAGACCCAGAACTGAGACTTAAATGAACAGACTACAGCTGAAGCCATAATGACGACAGATAAAGTCGGAGAGAGCAGAGGATAGTGCAGTTACCACACTCCTCCAGCAGGGGTCTCCATATGCAGCGTCACTGACAATCTGGGCCTGAGCCTCACAAAACCGGACAGTAGTGTGTTACTGTGTGTCACCTGGTGTGTCACCTGGTGTTTTATGGATCTCGCTCATAAACTTACGCAGCTCTGAGGAAATGACCTTCTCTGATGTGGTTAAACATTAGCATGAAGCTACAAATAAAAACATAAAAACAGAACAATTGTAACAGTTTACAGTCACACTCAAAGTTCAATATTTAGTGGAACTGTAATTTTAGAAAGTTAAATAAATACAAGAGATTAAAGGTTTCTCCCTCTGGTCTCTCTCTGTGGTCTCTGGTCTCTCTTTCTGATCTCTCTCTCTCTCTCCCTCTGGTCTCTCTCTGTGGTCTCTGGTCTCTCTTTCTGATCTCTCTCTCTCTCTCTCCCTCTCTCTCTCTGGTTTCTCTCTGGTTTCTCTCTGTGGTCTCTTTGTGGTCTCTCTATGGTCTCTTTGTGGTCTCTCTCTGGTCTCTCTTTGGTCTCTCTCTGGTCTCTCTCTGGTCTCTCTCTGGTCTCTCTCTGGTCTCTCTCTGATCTCTCTCTGGTCTGTCTCTCTGGTCTCTCTCTGGTCTCTCTCTGGTCTCTCTCTGGTCTCTCTCTGGTCTCTCTTGAGTCTAATTATTACAATGGTCCTGGACTTGTTTTAGTGAAGTGAAGATGGACATTGGAAACTATGGCACCGTGAAGAAATCTGCAAATGTGATGGGGATGATCCGAGGCAGCGTAGAACCAGGTGAGACAAGAATACTATGTTTTTATTACACCAGGATTCTCTGGTCTCTCTCTCTGTTCTCTCTCAGTCTCTTTATGGTCTCTCTCTGGTCTCTCTCTCTGGTCTCTCTCTCTGGTCTCTCTCTCTGGTCTCTCTCTGGTCTCTCTCTCTCACTGGTTTCTCTCTTGTCGCTCTCTTGTCTCTCTCGCTGGTCTCTCTCTTTTGTGTCCCTCTGGTCTCTCTCTCTGCTCTCTCTGTCTCTTTGGGCTCCCTCTGGTCTCTCTGCTCCCTCTCAGTCTCTTTATGGTCTCCCACTGGTTTCTCTCTCTGTTTTCTCTCTCTCTTTGATCGTTCTCTGGTGTCTCTCTCTGCTCTCTCTCAGTCTCTTTCTGATCTCTCTGGTCCCTCTCTCTGACCTCTCTCTTTTGTCTCCTTCTGGTCTCTCTCTTTTGTCTCTTTCTGGTCTCTCATTGGTCTTTCTCTATTGTCTCTCTCTGGTCTCTCTCAGTCTCTTTCTGGTCTCCCTTTGGTCTCTTTCTCTCTCTGTCTTTCTCTCTCTTCAATTTTCATAAAACTGGTCAATATAATTCAATACAACCTTTAAGCAATGACAGTTAAAGGCTGTCAGAGGTGAAAACCCGTCAAATTGACTGCTCCGGGGGTTCTCGTGGTCTCGTTCTCTCGCATAAACTTTCTGATAATCACAGATCGTTACGTCATCTACGGGAACCACAGAGACAGCTGGGTCCACGGCGCCATCGACCCCAGCAGCGGGACCGCGGTGATGCTGGAGATCACACGGGTGCTGGGCAGGAGGCTGAAGCAGGGTGAGGCTACCGCAATGCATCATTGGAAACACACCGGGTTAAAGCTGGGGTACCTGACGCTCTCTACCATAAAGGTTTCCTCGCTGGTTCTTTGACCGTGTGATCTAAACAAGGAAAGACCAGAGAGAGACTAGAGGGAGACTAGAGGGAGGCTAGAGGGAGACTGGAGAGAGACTAGAGAGAGACTAGAGGGAGACTAGAGAAACTAGAGAGAGACTAGAGGGAGACTAGAGGGAGACTTGAGAGAGACTAGAGAGAGACTAGAGGGAGACTAGAGAAACTAGAGAGAGACTAGATGGAGACTAGAGGGAGACTTGAGAGAGACTAGAGCGAGACACTAGAGGGAGACTAGAGGGAGACTATAAAGAGACTAGAGAGAGAGACTAGAGAGACCAGAGGGAGATCAGAGAGAAAGACCAGAGAGGAACCAGAGAGAAAAGAGAGAGATAGATTGGATCAGACTCCAGAAGCGATTGAAATACAAAAAACAGGCCTGTATACCGGGAGGAGGGGGTCTGTTCACTCTGACACACCTCAAACATGGTCCTGTAGAAGCTGGTCTGCACATGGTAAAACCCCCCATGGTCTGGGACTGATGGAGGCTTTGGTTTGTGCAGGAAAGTGGAGGCCTCGTCGGTCCATTATCTTTGGGAGCTGGGGAGCAGAGGAGTTTGGACTGATCGGATCTGCAGAATACACAGAGGTATACCAGTGGCAAACACAATGGCTTTTAGCTTTGGAAGTGTGATTACTCAGCTCATGTACCGGGATCTTCATAACTTTTCTGTTTCTATGTTAGAAAGATCAGAGAGAGACCAGAGAGAAAGGATAGAAATAGACCAGAGAGAGAGGCCAGAGAGAGACCAGATCGATACCAGAGAGGAAGACCAGAGAGAGAGAGACCAGAGAAAGACCAGAGAGAGAGAGAAACCAGAGAGAGATTAGAGAGACCAGATATACCAGAGAGAGACCAGAGAGACAGACCAAACAGAGAGACCAGAGAGAGAGACCAGAGAAAGACCAGAGAGAGACCAGATAGAGATCAGAGAGAGAGAGAGAGACCAGAGAGAACATAGAGAGACAAGACAGAAACCAGAGAAAAACCAGAGAGAGACCAGAATCCTGCAGGTCCTGAGCTAACCTTGAATTTTCTTTTAGGAGTATTTTGCCAAACTGAGTGAGCGCACCGTCGCTTACATCAATGTGGACATCGCTGTTTTTGGTGGGAGTTTATTTTATTATTTTTTCTTGCAATAAAACCCAAAACTTTTCCTTTTTTACTGAAATGAGCTTGTGTTTCTGCAGCGAACGCCACTCTCAGGGCGTCCGGAATGCCCTCGATTCAGAACGTGGTCTTCAGTGCAGCCAAACAGGTGAAGACCCCATAAAGGTTTATATGTAGTATAGCACAGTTCATACACAAGGACGCCTGAGAAAGAGAGACCAGAGAGAGAGAGTACAGAGAGAGACCAGAGAGAGAGTACAGAAAGAGAGACCAGGGAGAGAGAGTACAGAGTGGGAGAGAGCAGAGAAACCATTGAGAGACCAGAGAAAGAGTCCAGAGGGAGAGAGAGAGAGACTAGAGAGAGAGACCAGAAAGAGAGAGGCCCAGTGAGAGACCAGAGAGAGTACAAAGAGTGACCAGAGAGATAGAGACCAGTGAGAGAGAGACTCCAGAGAGGGAGAGAGCAGAGATAGACCAGTGAGAGACCCCAGATAGAGTAACCAGAGAAAGAGAAGCCAGAGAGAGAGATGAGAGAGTGACCAGAGAGTGACCAGAAAGTGACCAGAGAGAGACCAGAGAGAGACCAGAGAGAGACAAGAGAAAGAGGCCAGAGGGAGAGATGCCAGAGATAGAGGCCAGAGGGAGAGAGACCAGAAAGAGACCAGAAAGAGACCAGAAAGAGACCAGAGAGGGAGACCAGAGAGAGAGACCAGAGAGAGAGTGCAGAGAGAGACCAGAGAGATAGAAACCAGTGAGAGAGAGACCAGAGAGGGAGAGACTAGAGAGAGAGGCCCAGTGAGAGACCAGAGAGATAGAGATCAGTTAGAGAGAGAGAGTCCAGAGAGGGAGACAGCAAAGAGAGACCAGAGAGAGAGAGACCAGAGAGACCAGAGAGTGACCAGAGGGACCAAAGAGAGACCAGAGAGAGAGACTTTTTGATTCTTACATTCACTTTCACTGCTTCCAGGTCAGTGCACCAGGATCACAATCTGGATCAGTTTACGACAACTGGCTCAAATACACAAACAAAACCAGTCCAAGTCTCGGCGTCATCCCTAAGTATGTGTTTCTCGCATGAGCTGCTTTCATTTTAAGATAAGATATAGATATAAATATTAACAAACTTAATGTAGCTTATGATGCTAGCGTGAGGTTGATGGAGCTTTTGCTTTTGTCTCCAACAAACTCTTATATAATGAGAGTCGGTCCAAAGTCGGTCCAAAATACTATTGTCCATATTGTCCTGCTTCTGCTTCAGCCTCAGCGTCTGTGTATAAGTATTCCTCCTCGTGTGTCACTAGAATGGGATATTTGACGGGAGCCGGGAGCGACTACGCTGCTTTTGTCCACTATCTGGGAATCACATCCATGGATATGTCCTACACATACGACCGGGTGAGGATTTTTTATTTCATTTCATTTTTTTTTTTACACATTACAAGTTTGTAGAAATATCACTTTTATCTCCTGGACAGACCAAGACAAGCGCCAGGATTTACCCTGCGTACCACACGGCGTACGACACGTTTGATTATGCGTCAAAATACATCGATCCCGGTGAGTACGAGGCCCAGACTGAAGAGGACTGGACGGTTTGGATTATTCTAGAAAACACAGATTAGAAGTAACTCAAACAGAGGCTCTGTGGGCGGGAATTCATTTGGGGATAGCAACAACTTAACAACCAGAGAGCCAATCAGGGACTGAGCAGAGAGGGAGAGAGAGAGAGAGAGCAGACAGAGAGAGAGAGGTTAGAAACAGAGAGAGAGAGAGAGACCAGAGAGAGACCAGAGAGAGACCAGAGAGACCAGAGAGAGACCAGAGAGAGACCAAAGAGACCAGAGAGAGACCAAAAAGAGACCAGAGAGAGAGAGAGAGTGACCAAAGAAAGAAAACAGGGAGAGACCTGAGCGAGACCAGAATGATAGACAGAAAAGAGACCAGAGAGGCCAGAGAAAGAGAGACCAGAGAGATATACAAGAGAGATAAACCAGAGAGACCAGAACAACTTTGAAACCAATCAACAGAAGCTTCATTAAAGAGCGACTAAACACCAAATCAACTTTTTTTAAACTCATAAACTGCATAAATATTTTAATTGTAGTGCTCTCTATATATCCTGGTAATTTTTTTTTGACATTTTAGTTCAAATTAGATAAAATCTCACTTTTGAGCCAATAAACGCCCTCTCTGCCTTTTTTGGTGGTACTACATATGAATTTGGTCCCAGCCTCTCCATTGACTGTAATTGACTGTAATTCTGTCTGACGTGCGTCAGTCTGCGTCAGTCTGCGTCAGTGATATAAACCCATTCAACTCACACACACGCCCCAGTAGCAGGTTAGAGTATTCTGGCGACATCTAGTGGTTTAAAATGAAATTACATTAGTAATTTTGTGGATCAGATTCAGGTGTGTAGCTCTACAATTATCTTAGTGTGTAAACAAGAGATGGAATGAGACTTTCTGGTCTGTAAACTATTGCTTTTAGCAGCAATGACAGCTGTCTGTTTTTTTGTGTGTGTGACAAGTGAGCTGTCAGGCTGGTCACAGGTGTTTAATCGCTCTTTAACAAGTTTCAAGATCATTAAAGTGCTTTGTTTGGACTGAAAACATCTTGTGGAAAGAAGAATATTTCAAATTTGGACAAAAACAAAATTAATTCTACCCTTTCTCCCCCTAGTGGCAGCACAGGGAGCTACAGGCAGAAAGCACCCTTCGTACTTGTTTAACCGTGTATTTTCTACCAAAGATATTATTTCACATTTTAAAACAGGAAATGAGTAAATGATCTCGTTGTGTTTAAAGTGTTGTTGTGTTTCCTCCGGAGGCTTCACCAGTCACCAGGCCGTTGCTAGGACGGCGGGGAACGTCCTGGTCCGATTGGCCGACAGCCTGGTGCTGCCATTCAGCTGCAGAGACTACTCAGAGACACTGGAGGATTATCTGAGTGAGGCTGTGACTCAGTATGAAGACCAGCTGAAGACCAGGAATATAACCATGGGTAAAGACCAGAGAGAGAGAGAGTGAGAGAGAGAGAACCAAGAGTTTAGAGAGACTAGAAAGAAAGAACAGAGAAAAAGAGACCAGAGAGGGAGCGAGAGACCAGAGATAGAGCGAGAACAGAGGGATGACCAGAGAGAGTCAAGAGAGAGACCAGAGATAGATAGACCAGAGAGAGTCGAGAGAGAGACTGGAGAGATGGAACGGTGAGACCGGAAAGAGACCAGAGAAAGGCCAGGGAAAGAGGCCAAAGAGAGATCAGAGAGAGAGAGAGACTGGAGAGAGACCAGAGAAAGACTAGAGAAAGACCAGAGAGAGACCAGAGAGAGAGACCAGAGAGAGTCAAGAGAGACTGGAGAGGGAACAGAGAGACCGGAAAGAGACCAGAGAAAGAGTAGAGAGAGAGGCCAGAGATGGAGCGAGACCGGGGAGAGACCAGAAAGAGGGGCCAGAGATGGAGCGAGACCGGAGAGAGACCAGAGAGCGAGACCAGAGAGCGAGACCAGAGAGCGAGACCAGAGAGCGAGACCAGAGAGCGAGACCAGAGAGAGAGAGAGTCAAGAGAGAGACCAGAGAGAGAGACTAAAGAGAGAGGGCCCACCTTGATTATGGCCACTATTGCCTCACACTTGTCCTTGAACCTGGTGTGTGTGTTCCAGAGCCGCTGAAACAGGCCGTGGCCAGTTTTAACGCTGCAGCTCTTCACCTCGATGACGTCATAAAAAGTTCAGATCTGAAAAACGAATCGTGAGTTTGACTTTCACAGCAGCTCCAACAATCGCAGCTTCAATACTGACACATTCCTCTGACCTCTGACCCCAGGCCTCTCAAAGTCCGGATGTTCAACGACCAACTGATGCTGCTGGACCGAGCCTTCCTCGACCCGGTGGCTTTCCCCGAGAAGTATGCTTTCAGGTGAGAAGACAGAACAGAGAGAGAGAGACTAGAGAGAGAGAGAGACCGGAGGGAGAGACCAGAGAGAGAGCGAGAGCAGAGGGAGAGAGAGACCAGAGAGAGCAGACGGGAGAGACCAGAGAGAGAGAGCACAGGGAGAGACCAGAGAGAGAGAGAGAGCAGATGGGAGAGACCAGAGTGAGAGAGAGACCAGAGGGAGAGAGAGCAGAGAGAAATAACAGAGAACCAGAGACCTCAGTGAGAGAGAGAGCCAGACCAAAGGGAGAGAGCCCAGGCTAATTTTCTTCTTTGATCCATTTTTTCGCTTAAGTACTCTCTTCGCTACCTCATTGATGTGTACGTTTGGCTGCTTATCCTTGTCGGCAAGTTACAGCAGGAGGTGTTATAGCCAATTCTGCTAACTTGCTCCTGTGTTTAGCCGGTTGGCCCCCCCCCCCCCCCCCCCCCCCTATAGAGGCTAGAGGACGCCGCCTCGTTTTGTGAGTGGAGGTAGTGCTAGCGGTTCACGGGTTAACTCTACTCAGCACTTTTTTCCGGCCAGAAATCATACACAAAACTGAATCAATGAGCTTCAAGTTTTCCATTAAAATTACGGATTATGTTAACCCTTGTATGTAGATACAAACGCTTTTTATAAACTCCTAAAAATAAATCGGGTATAGATCTTCACACTACCCAGTTATCTATGTGACCTAAAGTTGCTTCCACGCTTTGAGGTATGCACAATATGAACTATGGCCTATAGGGGGCGCAGGGGGTCAGATACGGCGGAAGACTTCGAAGAGCGAGGCCACGGCGTGCATGCGGTTAGACAAGTTCAGCCGGTACAGCCAAAGTTCAAGACGGAGACCAGACCGAAAAAACCAAACGAGTCCTCCTTCCAGACCACTGTCCGGTTAATGAGGGCCGCACCCCGAAGGCGGCCGGCTCCACAGCTGCAAGGAGAGAGGCCGTGCGACTCTGGCCAGGATCCACAGCTGCAAGAGAGGAGGCGTGAGACCCAGCAGGATTCCACAGCTGCAAGAGAGGAGGACGTGAGACTCTGGCTGGATCCACAGCTGCAAGAGAGGGGCGTGAGACCCAGGGGAATCCAAGCAGCAAGAGAGAGACGTGAGACCCTGCAGGATACAGCTGCAAGAGAGAGACGTGAGTCCCTGGCAGGCTCCACAGCTGCAAGAGAGGCGTGAGACCCCAGCAGGATCACAGCTGCAAGAGCAGAGAGTGAGGGGACCCCAGCAGGATCCACAGTCCTGCAAGAAGAGCGTGAGGACCCCGCAGGGATCCACAGCTGCAAGAGAGCGACGTGAGACAATGCAGGATCACAGCCGCAAGAGAGAGGCGTGAGCCCCAGCAGGGATCCACAGCTGCAAGTAGAGGACGTGAGACCTGGCAGGATCCACAGCTGCAAGATAGAGACGTGAGGACCCTGGCAGGATCCACAGCTGCAAGAGATGCGTGAGACCCCAGCAGGATCCACAGCTGCATGAGAGAGACGTGAGCCCCAGCGCGATCCAAGCTGCAAAGAGAGAGGCGTGAGACCCAGCAGGATCCACAGCCTCAAGAGAGTTAGACTCCAGAGCCTTCTGCCCAAACACCCTTCTGTCAAGACAGGCTGACTGCCTCACACCATTCCCTGTGCTCCTCAGAGTCCCCAGCAGGAAGCCAGTCCCTGTTGAGCTCCTCAGAGTCCCAGCAGGAGGCCAGTCCCTGTGCTCCTCAGATAGTCCCAGCAGGAGGCCAGTCCCTGTGCTCCTCAGATGTACTTTGGTGTGAGGCCATGGAGAGACCTGTAACAAACAGAGCTGCTTTAAAGATTGAACAATGAGAGAATAAAACAGTGTATAACAGTTTTGCCGTTGCACCAACAGAACCCCACCCGCTTCTACGACTCCGTCATCACAAAACAAATATCAGCTTCCTTCATTCGCCACATTCAAAACAAATGTGTGAACAGTTTGTACAGTGAATATCAATTCTAGTTCCCTTATATCTCTTTTCAAACAGGTGTGTTGTTATTTCAGAGTTATTGTAATATTACTCCAGTATCTTTGGCTTCTGTCACAATTTTATTTCAGCCTTTTTCAGTGACAAAAACAGTCCCTCACTAAACCAATCTCTCACTATAACATGAAGGCCTCATGTTGTGGTCATAGGCCCTATTTCCACCAGCCCTAGTTGGTCGTACTCTACTCTGCTCTACTCTACTCTTCCAGTATAATGCAGTTTTTCCAGTCCTAGTACGGTATGTTTTGACTCTACACGGCGCGCCATGGCTCAGTTCGCGTGCTTTTCCATCAAAAATAGTACCCCCAGTATGTCCTCAGCGTTGTCAGACCACGTTATTTACGTGTGACGCGTAACTAGTGTCGAACATCAGACGCATAGGCAGGGATCTTTGCACACCAGAGCAACCTGGAAGTTTATTCACAACAGGTGGTAGATTCAGGCAGAACAATAAACAGGGAAACATTATATATTGGAATTTGCGTCATCATGAAAGAGCCAAACCCAGGCGTCAGTCAGCTAAAACAACGGATACACAATCGTAGCAGATATACAATCAAAGAACATTGTGTGTCTTGTACTTCTATTTTATCTTGTTTTTGTACTACTATTGTTCATACTAGTACTGGTGCGGTGCATGGATTTATTATAATATCAGAGCAAGTGTTTAATAGAAAATTCAGCACAGCACTTTATTTTTCAGTATTTTTTGAAAATGCTTATGTCTTAAAAGAATGACTCAGACACTGTGAAGTCAATGGTGCTGACTGCTCTGTACAATCTGAATGGACCTGTAGCAACAGCAGCCTGTGTAGCAGAGGAGGAGGGCTGCATGTCTGAGGATACTGCTAGGCTATAGCTAATGCTAGCGCTAGCTCGAGACTCTGCTCACTCACTAACCCTGGATTCCAAAGCTACTACAATACTACACTTAACACATCTATCACTACCATCAGAGGAGGATCCGGGGTTTAAACTCGTCATATGACAAGTTGAGCAGTAAAGGACCGAGGGAGAGACAGCGGCAACCATAGGGGTAGCAAGTTAGCGGCTAGGCTACGCTAAGCTAGGCTAGGCTAGTCCGGACTCGGGTCCGGACTACAGCAGACTCCGAGACCAGACAAACAATCGATACCCAAACCTCAGCTACAATAATAATAAATGAATGAAACACAGTCTTGGGATACAATCACAGATTTATTGAAAACAAAAGTAAAGTGCAAAACCAACAGTTTACAAAGTCAAAAGTACGTATGTCTAAGACCAGGTCCAGACCAGGTCGAGACCAGGTCCAGATGAGAATACTCCGGTCACTCATTACTCGTTGGTAATCTCCACACTTATGGGAAGGGATTCTCATACACATATACACACAACAACTTAAATACAAGCACAAAACAGAATGACAACACGTGAATACTGCAGATAATACGAGATAAAGCACAGTAGCACAGGGAGGACGTTAGCTTTGCTGCTATCGATAGCCCATAGGGTTGGACGATATGGGCCTCAGCATGTATCACGATGTTTGTTGGTATGTATCACGACATATGACGATATGATAATTTTAACAAAGCCTCATATAAAAGCTATAAAAACTTAGCACTGATAATTTTAAACACCTTGCCTCAAAGTGCATTTACTGATTTATTGGCAGCAAAATGTGTAATACAGCTATTGTATATTAAACGTATTAACAAAACTGAATTGTAGAGAATTCTGTTTTGTACATACTGAAAATTGCAGGCAACATGTAATAAAGGTGAACATTTGTAATTTGTAAAATATATAAAAGTTTGTCCTTTGTAATAATAAAAAAGTGTAGCATTATCAAATAATTATTTTTGATCACTTTGGCTTATGTTTCCTAATCCCATATATCAAAATGATCAAATACTGTATATTTTTTGTATCCTTTTGCGTTTCTATAATTATGTAATTATAACTTATTTGTAAGAGAGAGAGGAGAGAGAAGCAGAGAGAGAGAGATGAGAGAAGGAGAGAGCGAGAGAGAGAGAGAGAGAGAGAGAGAGAGGAGAGAGAGAGAGAGAGAGAGAGAGAGAGAGAGACCCGAGAGAGGATGAGAGGAGAGAGAGAGATGAGAGAGAGAGAGAGAGAGAGGAGAGAGAGAGTCCATTGTTTAGGCAGCTGACAACAAGACCAGACAAATTGCTTCTTTTTTCTGAAAATACTCCCGTGCACGTGTGTGAAGAATGTATATGTATAAGTATTCTCCGATAACATTTAAGTGTGTTGATTGAGCGTGGCCAGCTCCGGAGTGGCGGAACTACTTGCGGAGTTATCCACGCATTTGAAATACAAGCAGAGAGTGCGTTGCCATGGGCAGCGGCACACTTGTTGTCTTTGAAGCCGTTTTCCGTGTTATAGAATAATGACCGGTAGAACGTTTTGAAATACATTCAAATCAATGGAGCGTTCTACTTGCGGCCGTATCACCGGTACAAAAAAAAATAATCAGGCCCGATACCGCTAATAGCTAAATGAAGCTAATTGTAGCTAGCTCACTGTGTACAACAGACAATCGAGCATTCACACAGTAAATACATTTCAGTGAGAGCTTTAACAGGATTTGTAGCTAACCAGTTATTTCCAGGATTACCACAGACTAGTCACAAATCCAGAGCCATCTCCCTGAAAACTGTGTTGAGCCTCGAGCTGCCTTTGAATTCTTTCTTTGGCCTGAAGAGAGGAACGTGTGGACCTCTTCCACCGACCAGGACCAGGACTTTTGGGGCTTTCTGTGCGATTCCATTTCTCTGGAGTGAGGAGGACGTAATGTAGCCGAAGCAGAGCCGAGCAGAGCACCCGGTTTTAAAGATGGCGGTTGAGTTGTTTTTAGGGGTCAGATGACGCTTCCGGTGACGACACTCGTTGACCAATCAGTGTAAGGCAGTGGGCCGACGTGACGTCATGGCACAGGTACTATGGGGATGGAACCACGGCTGAGGCAGTACGGAAAAGTACTCAAATCTCCCATACTATCCACTAGTGGAAACGCAAAATAACCGTGCTGAAGCGTACTGTACTGTACCGTACTGATACTGTGGAAAAGCGGCATAAGTCCTTCACTATAGTTCCTCCTGGTCCTGGTTCTATCCAGGCCAAGCTGGTACTAAAGTGTTCTAACTGACAGTGATTGACCAGAGTGCTGCTGGAAAGCCATGGTAAGCAAGGAATTTCCCCGAATACTGGTTTGTTGTCACCAGATACTAAAGAGCAGAGCAGAGTAGAGTAGAACCGAGAAAAACTGAGTATACAGTGCCTTGCGAAAGTATTCGGCCCACTTGAACCTTTCAACAACATTTCAGGCTTATTTATAAAGATATAAAAATTTTATTTTTTGTCAAGAATCGACAACAAGTGGGACACAATCGTGAAGTGGAACAAAATTTATTGGATAATTTAAACTTTTTTAACAAATAAAAAACTGATAAGTGGGGCGTGCAATATTATTCGGCCCCCTTGCGTTAATACTTTGTAGCGCCACCTTTTGCTGCAATTACAGCTGCAAGTCGCTTGGGGTATGTCTCTATCAGTTTTGCACATTGAGAGACTGGAATTCTTGCCCATTCTTCCTTGCAAAACTGCTCGAGCTCATTGAGGTTGGATGGAGAGCGTTTGTGAACAGCAGTCTTCAGCTCTTTCCACAGATTCTCGATTGGATTCAGGTCAGGGGACTTTTGACTTGGCCATTCTAACACCTGGATACGTCTATTTGTGAACCCTTCCATTGTAGATTTGGCTTTATGTTTTGGATCATTGTCCTGTTGGAAGATAAATCTCCGTCCCAGTCTCAGGTCTTTTGCAGACTCCAACAGGTTTTCTTCCAGAATGGTCCTGTATTTGGCTCCATCCATCGTCCCATCAATTTTAGCCATCTTCCCTGTCCCTGCTGAAGAAAAGCAGGCCCAAAGCATGATGCTGCCACCACCATGTTTGACAGTGGGGATGGTGTGTTCAGGGTGATGAGCTGTGTTGCTTTTACGCCAAACATATCGTTTTGCATTGTGGCCAAAAAGTTCGATTTTGGTTTCATCTGACCAGAGCACCTTCTTCCACATGTTTGGTGTGTCTCCCAGGTGGCTTGTGGCAAACTTTAAACGAGACTTTTTATGGATATCTTTGAGAAATGGCTTTCTTCTTGCCACTCTTCCATAAAGGCCAGATTTGTGCAGTGCACGACTGATTGTTGTCCTATGGACAGACTCTCCCACCTCAGCTGTAGTTATCTGCAGTTCATCCAGAGTGATCATGGGCCTCTTGGCTGCATCTCTGATCAGTCTTCTCCTTGTTTGAGATGAAAGTTTGGAGGGACGGCC